AAAGAGAGACACCGAGAGTTATGGCATAGAACCAGCAAGCCACAATTGGTGGGTATGTCGCCATTCATGCAGTCATTGTGTATAATTCTTGCACGCACTGAACTGATGAAAAGTTCAGTGGCACCCAGCTCTTTGCTTTCAACCGTCATGAAGCTAGGAGATGGGAGCAGTTTTTCATTAGTTGTGTTCTCTTTCTTGTGGATTCAGCGGGTAGTATCACTAACAATGAAAAATTTACAACCTCCCTAGTCAGGGGGAATAGACTGTAACAGAAGGTCTAGGGTAGGATCCAGTTGCAAGTATGAGAAGTTTGTTTCCACTTAGAATGAAATAGGCACTCTTCCATTCCTTTTGTCAACTCTGCAATTAACATAGTTGGTATTACATTTCCCTTGAAAGATCTCTCTGCACCTTCTCACGTCACCTTCACATTGTCCTTCTTCATGGAAGAAAATGGGTGGGCTTCCAGGAGCAGACACAACACTGGCCCAGATAATGCTGGTTTTAACCACAATTGGTTAGAGAAGCCAGGATCTGGCTTGCAGATGAGAAAAGATAATATATATTTTTTATTTATTTAGACGTTTTCTATACCGGCCTTCTCACCTCAACGAGGGACTCAGGTCGGTTTATTATTTTGTGCTAACCTGAAATTATTTCTTGGTTGAAAAGATTCCCACTCCTGTACACACCTCTGCTTGGAGCACTGCTGCAAGAGAAGGAAGATGTTAGTATGCACACCAAATAATTTTCCATGCTGTCAAAGATCTTTAGGAGTTTAACTCAAACACATTCCCCATCATGCTGCCCCAGTATGAGCTCTCTTCCACACTGTACAACTATTGCACTTTGATACCACTTTAACCACCATGGCTACATCCTACAGAATCCTGGAATTTGTAGTTTATTGAGGTACAAATCTCAGGGTGCCATAGGGTTGAATTGTGGTGGTTTAAAGTGGAATCAGCACTATAATTATGTGTGGTGAATGAGACCTTTTTCTATACCTTCTCCTTAGGTATAGACAAATGATACTCTTATGTGTTACTGCCCTCTGATGTTGAACCCCAGGAATAAGACATAGGTGCCATAGATCCAGCATTGTGTAGTGTTTGTTTTCAGAATTTGTCTTGATCGCTTATATTATAAAATGGTTAATTTGCTAACTTGTTTTTTTTCTGAAAGGACTTCTGTCTTGGTCAGAAAGAATGGCTTATTATTTTTGTTGTTGTTGTTGTTGTTAGCAGTCACTTTCCTCTGTTCAGGATGAGGCCACCCTAAAAGGTGCTGATCTTGAAACTGAGACTGGACAGTAATTGTCCTTTTGTGCTTCTGCTGCTGCCGCCTCCAATTCAGGCCAGTAACTATATTTAGGAGCAGAGGCATGAGAGTTGCTATATAGCAGATTACTAGCTGAGCCTTTAAAAAAAAAAGGCAATAGTCGGCACGACTACAAACACCATGAGATACTATTCTACCAAATTTGATTTTCAAAAGTATCCCATTGTCATCCATCAGGTTTGCCAGCAATAAAACCGGTACTGTCAGATTTCTCTGCATGTTCTGGCCTAACAATTCTAGCATTTGAAAAAAGCCCTAGTAGGGAACTGTCTTGTCTAGCTGGCTGAATCCCAGACTGACACAGACATGTGAGATGCCAACACGGATCCTTGCCTAAACTTGTCAGGCAAAGGCAGGCATCATGAAAAGAGACAGCTCCTTGAGAATCTCATAGGTTGCCTAAGTGTCCACAGACCTAGTAGACAGAACTGTGTGTCTTCTGAGCCAAATCCAAATTCTTCACCAAGAAAATTGACATACTGCTGCTATCCCGATGAATTGTGCAGATCACATGTGCCCCCTTCTAATTTCACAGTTGCAACAGTCTATCTCCATCTTTTGTTTAATACCACACACAGCCACGATCCCTTTTAGGATTTTGAAATACTTTAAATGTTCTTGGCAAGAGGTGAGGATGGAGGGGGAAAGGAGTGAAGAACAAAGAACATGGAGAAGAAAAGGGCTGGATATTGAGGTCCAAATACTTGTGGGATTGTGTGAGGAGAGCTGGGAATAATAACTAGAAGACATAGAAGGAAGAAAGCCAAAGCCACCACTTTTGACCACAGAAAGGGGGTTCACTTGAAGTCAGCAGTTTCTCCCCACTGAATTTCTTTAACCATAAAATCATAATTAATGTCATGATCTTACTGAAAAAGGAGAGAAAGAGATACTCCATGTGTGCCGCAGCCTGGGCTTGAAGCCCATTACATTGGCAGGGGATTGCAAGAGCTATTGTCCTGTATCTATATGAGATATGCCAAATACCATCCCCATTTACACATATCATCTCTTTATTGTGAATATGTGAAGGGGGGGTCCCTCTATACAATTCTACAGGCGTTGATGGAACAGATTGTCTTATCTTAAGATAAGTTGCCTCGGGAGCTGTTCCTCCCTTGTGTTACTTTTAGTTTATGTTGTTGGAGTAGGGAAACTTGCTGTCAAGTAGCGGCTTGGCTGCTCTGAACACCCTGGCACCATTCCTGGAGATGAAATGCCCCTGGGGATCCTGCTGCATTCCCAGGGAAATTATTGGGAGGGGAAGAAATTGGAGGAAAGATGGCAGTTTGGGATTTGAATCCAGGCTAGTGGTTTAGAGCGGATGAGTCACCACAGACGAGCTTAAGCTCTAAATTTCTCAGAATGAATGCAATGCACCAGTCTTAAAGATAGCCCTGCAATTATTCTTTACCACAAATATCAATATCATTATCGTTCACATAAGATGAGAACGGTTGCTGAAAGGAATTTACATGCTTCTGGTTATGAAGGAGATAATCTGCATCGCTCTTGAAGTTCAGATAGGTAATTGTGTCTTTTTGATTTAATTGTGGTCACCTGTTGTGTTTTCTTTTTCATTGTCATCATTTATTCATGGATTTAAACTTCATTGGGGGAAATGTCATGCAAATACCCATAGCAACATATAACAGCCAGCAGCAGGATTCCCAGCAAATACAGCACTTCCCAAAGCATCCCTCTGAGATGCCCTGCTTCCTTAGTGTTTTAAAAGTAAACCTGGAGCTGTGATGCTCAAGAGTAAATGCTAGATGCATGAGCATTTGCATTGAAAGTATTGGTGTTCCTGAAAAAAATGCAAAAAGGAGACATTGAATGAGGATGAGGATCACTTGAGGTAATATTAGGGTTTTTTCCAATTTCTAATCATTATTACTAGTGATTTCATTATTTGTAGTGGTTTGTTTTCTTTAAATACTTCGTTCTCTCATTGTCAGCATCCAAAATAATAAAACTTGCAAAAAACGAAAGTATTTTTAAAATAAACAGCATGTGCATTATGGCACAAAAAAAGATGACAGGTTAAGCCAGTGCTAATCATTGCTAATACTGTGAATGGAACAGAGATGGCAGCTAGAAGCTGCTGCTACTACTAATAAAGCTTATTTGGTATAATATCAAGGTAATGATTCCTGCTGTGGATCAGGCGCTGACAGGATCATGTTGTTAGCTGTTGTCACTGAGAAATCTGGTATAATGAGTATAAAATGCAAGGTAAGGCATGCATAAAAGTAATCAGACCACGCCGTTTTGGCTTTCAAAGTGACAAGGAAAGAAAAAGACCACAAAACGTTGGGGACATTTTCAAGAATAAAGAAAATCATACAGCATTATAATTATTATTGCTATTATTATTATTATTATTATTATTATTATTATTATTGCTATTTCATATATTTGTATCCCATTCTTTTCACCCCCAGAGGAGGACTCAGGGCAGCCTCACAATCGGCAACCATTGGATGCCCAAAGACAATTATAATAACAATTTACATTTAAAACAATAGCTAAAATATCAAATGTAATGGGACTGACAATGGACTGACCTGGACTATGACTTGAACTTGTGTGATTTTAATTGGTTGTGTTACCTATTGAAATCATGCAAGTTCAAGTCATAATCCAGGTCAGTCCATTGTCAGTCCCATTATCATTTTAGACATAGAACATTTTATTTTTAAAAATTCCTCATACAGAAGCTGCATTGACACACATGCCACAGACCCATTCTGTATAATTGGGGTCAGATCTGAAGTTCTTTTTAACTATCTTTTAAACAGATCTGTTTTCCACATTTTTACTGACACTTAAACCTTCTTGTTGAAGATTCAGATAATAGATGATTTGCAAGCTGTGGATGTTGATACTGTCATGCTTTATTATTAGCTTAGCTTTGGCTGGCCTTACGCCTCTTTACTGCTCTGCTTTACCACATTAATGGATGCATCTTTTTTGTTTTGCTGACTAGATGCATAAAACCTAAGCCTTCAAAACCAGAAGCAGTCATTCTCTGAATGAGATCTTATTGTCTCCATCAATGTGTCTGTTAAACACAAAGTGCTTATTTTATTAAATGCGGCCTTGTGAAAGAAAGGCCCTTTAGAAGTAGTTAACAGAGAGCCCTTGTTTGTTAAATAACTTGGGTACAGTTGGAGAGTTTCCAGTCAGAGAGTTCAGGTGCTTACAAAACAAGACTGGATGACATGGACCTTTTGTCCTCAAAGGAAACAGGGCAGAAATCTGGGGAGGCACAAATACTGGCTCGGGAGGGAGGCATTCTTTTCCAACTTACACATTGCATGCCCAGATTTGTTCTATACATTGCCAGGGTCAAGCTGACAATGCTGTGCAGTCCATATCCTCCCTGTTTTTAAGCTGTGCTATTAGAGTACTGGTCAGTGTAACACCCACTTATTTTACCATCACCATGAACCATCTTCCTCTCATTACTCCAGGTTTGTGAACAAGTAGAGCTGGGCAAAGCAACTGACTCTGAGTTGACTTAATTAAATGGTTGAAACTGAAATAGTGTTTTCCCTCCTGTCCTACTTCAGTTAAGAATTATCTCCTTGCAGCAGCAAAGTGAGACCTTTTCAAGACAGATCAAATTGAGCTTTACTGTTTTTTCCCCAATTTAGAAAAGCCAGAAATGGATGAATTCACCTTGGAAAGAGTGCTAGAAGAGCTGGAGACACTGTGCTACGAGAATATGAACATTGCCATTGAAACAGAGGAAGGCCTTGGCATAGAGTATGACGAGGATGTTGTGTGTGATGTGTGTCGCTCGCCAGAAGGAGAGGACGGCAATGAGATGGTTTTCTGTGACAAATGCAATGTCTGTGTGCATCAGGTGAGTAGCTTTGCTTGGTGTGGTGAAGCACCAAGTCCTATCCCTTAGAGGACTGAGTTTAGGTTAGATTAGTGGCTCCTAAGCTTTGGTCCTCCAGGTATTTTGGACCTCAACTCCCAGAAGCCTTAGCCAGCTTGAGCAATAGTTGGCAATTTTGAAAGCTGAGGTCTGAAACAACCAGTTAGCCAAACTTTGGGAACCACTGGTTTAGGCTACCAGACATAAGCCAAGACCAAGAATGATGTTGTTGCAGAGATACTGTTGTTGCCTGCTGCATATGTTTTTGCAGCAAGAAAATTAAATTGTTTATTCACAGGAAACATTTATTAATTAAGAGTCAGCATAGTGTAGTGGTTTGGGAGTTAGACTAGGATACTGGGAGAGCAGGGTTCGAATCTCTGTTTGTCCATAGTAATCCATTGGGTGACCTTGAGCAAATTTCACTCTTTCAGCATTAGAAGGCAGCAGTGGTAAACTACCTATGAGCAAATCTTGCCACAAAAACCCTGTAATGGTCTTAGAGTTACAGTAAGTCACAAATTACTTGAAGGCCCACAACAACAATGTATTTACACAATTTCTTCCAGCAATTCAGTATTTAGTTAGGCTTAAGATAAACATGTTCCAATTGTTTGTAAGGGAAGGAAAAAAGAAAATTCTTTCCCATGCAGCATGGTAGTAAGATAGTCATTTTTACCTTCTTATTTTGGTATTCTCTGTCTTGTTAATCATGAATAGCCCAATCTGGAATGCCTTTAACCTTTACACTTTTACACATCTGCTTTACACATCTCTTAGAGCAGTTGTACTGTTCACTGACCTTGATTGAGTAGAATCTGCCTGTGAATGCAGACAACCTCCTTGATAAGTTGCTCATGTTGAATTTAATAGACAGTAAGGAGCAAGCAGTCTATTTAGGTAGTCAAGATTTGAGGCTAGCATTCAGAAGGATGGGCAATCAATTATGGTCCATTGAAGTCAAGCCACCAATTAGCAATCAATAGTGAGTGGCTGAGTCTCTGTTGTTAAGTGTGCAATCAAACGTAGATCCTTCTTAAGCTTCCTTAAGGTGCAATGTTCATAGGACCAAAAATCCTTCTTCTGTGTTTCTTACACTTCCAGTGCTGCCACATGCTGGTGGGATTTCCATCAGAAATTAGCATATCAGGGGAAAAAGAGAAAGGGGATGGGGGAGTCATGGGATGGACAGCACCCAACAGAGGTCACGGCAGTTCAAATCTTTGGTCTGAAAACTCTGGTGACTCCAGTCATATGTACTGTTTTTCAGTCTTGCTGAAAAAAGAAATTCCAGGAAAAGCAGGTCACCCCTAGTAGGGTACAAAGGCAGCTTTATGAGGAAGAATTGGCTCTAGTGTGAAAAATATCAGTTACCATAAATAGACTACGGAACATAAGTGTGGTACTTCCATAGAAGTAGCCCCATATGTCTGGGGGATAGTAGCTAAACTTCACAGCATTCAAAGGCCTATAGGGCCCTGTAAATTTAGTCTCCTGTGAATCTATTCTTTTCTCTTTCTGACCTGCTGTGTATCTAGTAACTCCATGCAGACTGGTTGGCCTCCTTCATCTCCTCTACTTTCATTTGTCATGGCATAGTAACCTACTTTAAGTGCATTTCCCCCTAGGAGTTTTATAGCTAAGGAGGTCTGTGAATCAAAAGGATGTCTTGCATGTTAGACTACACCATGGGCAGACTACAGCTCTGAAGTGATTGAATACAAAAGAGGAAAGGGTTGCAGTACTTTTACCAGTTGTTTACAAGAAAGCATTTCAGAATATACTTTTTTTCATCCAGGTGCAATAAATCCTGTGCACCTGAATTCCTACACAGATAATGACACATGCAGGAATCTAGATTTCCTCCTTTTGCAAGATAGGCTCTTCTTTGCAGCATGTGTTTCAATACATTGATGTTTGAATGTATGCCTGCCACACACATAAAGGGATAGAAATGGTCTCTCTCAGGGTTTGTGTGGAGGTCAGAGTTGTAATTCCTTCATCTGTTGTTCTTTTATATGACCTTTCTTCCCCAATGTCTCATTTAGTGAGACTACTGCACTGTAATACAAATTACAGGCATAGCTTGTTTATGCATTTTTGTTTCTAACAGAGAAATACGCTCTTCTGTTGAGCTTACTGTGGAGATAGGAATTAGAAGCTTGCAGATCTCTCCTTTTTTGTAACTCTTCTTATTCTATTCGCTCTGGAATAGTCAGTTTAAAGCTGTTTTGACCATTGCAACCCATGAGATCAGAATCAAAAAGAAATGGATACTGAGTTTTCTTTAATAGTCCATAAAGAGATTCATATATTAACCTATCTAACCTGGAAGGAAGAATACAACACTCTAAGATTTAATCTACTCACAGAGGTGGTCCATGTACCAGTCCATAAGTTCTTGCCTGTTAATCCATGGCATGTTTGCAGGAAAGAAAGAAGCAGTTGTCAGTGAACACAATTACGGCACAGGTACCTGGCACATTGCAAAAGAAATCTTGCTGGTCTCCCACATCAGATAACTTAAGAAGTACTGTTCTAAGATAAGACACTGTTAGAAATCTAAGGAACATGAAATTAAAGGTAGTGAACAGTTCAGAGAAGGAACTGAGATAAAGGCATCTGACCTTGAACATATTTTATTTTCTCTGAGAATATCTCTTAACCATGCCTCATGTAATGTCATGACACATGTGAGATCTATTAATTGAGTAAGTCAGTAGCAAGTTTGGATACTTGACTACTAATGGATTTGTTCGCATATCAGTAGTCTACACAGATAGGCTGGATGGTCTTATAGCTGCATTGTAGCTTATTTTGAAATGAACCCGAGGTTTTACGCTAAGATTTTATTCATGCGATACTTACTCAAAAGTAAGTATATACATTGTAGCTTGAGTGTAACACATGAACAAATGGGTCTCTCTTAGACTGAGTCTAATTAGTTCAGTCAGTCCAATAATACCTGCTTTGACCGGCAACTCTTTCTCAGTCTTTGTGATCATGTGAACTGAGACCTTTTTTTCAAAGTGAGATACTAAGGACTGGACTTGGGACTTTTATCACTGAGCCATAACCATTTAGGTGGCTAAAGCTCCCAAGATTCTTTAAAACTGAATTACTCCTACATATGCACATAGAACTGCATCCCAAATCTTTGATAAATAACCACTTTGAGTGTCCTTGTGGAGAGAAAAATGGGGTACAAATAAGCATATAATAATAATAATAATAATAATAATAATAATAATACGTCACACAGTCCTAGATGCTTGGGAAGTGTTTGACTTGTGATTTTTTTGATACAAAATCCAGCATATAGATCTTGTTTGCTGTGACATACTGTGCTTTTGTGTCAGTAAAATAATAATAAACAATACTGAACCTTGTGAGTCTAAATCAACTTGTTAATCCTACTAGGTAAAGGTAAAGATTCCCCTGACATTAAGTCTAGTCGTGTCTGACTCTGGGGGTTGGTGCTCATCTCCATTTCTAAGCCAAAGAACCAGCGTTGTCCGTAGACACCTCCAATGTCATGTGGCCGGCATGACTCCATGGAGCATCGTTACCTTCCCGCAGAAGCGGTATCTATTGATCTACCCACATTTGCCTGTTTTCGAACTGCTTTGTTGGCAGAAGCTGGAACTAACATTGGGAGCTCATCCTTCTCCCCGGATTCAAACCACCAGCTTTTTGGTCAGCTAGTTCAGCAGCTCAGCAGTTTAACCTGCTGCACCAACAGAGGGCCATTAATCCCACTAGAGCAGTGGTTCTCAATGTATGGATCCCAGATGTTTTGGACTTCAACTCCCATAAATCCTAACAGCTTGTAAACTGGCTGGGATTTCTGGGAGTTGTAGGCCAAAACACCTGGGGACCTACACGTTGAGCACCATTGCACTAAAGATAGATAAATGGAACTGTAAACTGCTTTGAGTCACCTCTGTGCTGAGAGGGATGGTATACAAATATAGTAAATAAATAAATAAATAAAACAAATGTAAAGAATGGCCTGCTGATTTCCATTGGACCCTTGGGTCTACCCTAATTGGAACTAACAATTGGTCTAAAGCCCAAGTAAGAAGTACATCCTGACAAATAGTGGCCAGCAAACAGAACTCCATAAAACTTGTGTACATTACTTGTGGCCGTTGCAATCACTATCTATTTTGCAGTGAGGTGAGTGACTGCAGAGGGCCACAGCAGCTTGAACTCCTTCACCTCAAAAAATTGGCTGAAAACAAAATCTGGAAATAACTTCCGAGTTCTGCCTTTGTTGTTGTTTACATAAATACATTTTTGAGATATCTGCCTTTCCAGGGGTGGTAATTTGTGGGGTTGGGTTTTCTGCCGCCCCTAAAATGTGGGAATGTGTGAGGGGGTTTCAAAGAAATTACAGGTATCGCCCCAGGGTGGGATGGGGGGTGTCAGAGGTGTTGCCAAAAAAAAGCCTGTGAAAAGGGGGGTGCAGTTTTCCCATCCCTGTTTACAATGTTGCCATCTAACTCTCACCTAAGTACCCTCTACTTTTGTATTTTCTTAGGCTTGCTATGGAATCCTAAAGGTTCCCCTTGGAAACTGGCTTTGCCGAACCTGCGCCCTAGGAGTCCAGCCAAAGTGTTTACTCTGCCCAAGAAGAGGGGGAGCTCTAAAACCCACCCGAAGTGGGACTAAATGGGTCCACGTTAGCTGTGCCTTATGGATACCTGAAGTAAGATGTTGGGTAATTTCTGTTCAGAGAGGAAGAAGGGTGGGATGGGGATGACGAGCAGAGAAGGCCCGAGGCTTTGAATCATGGCTTATATTGAATGGAGAGAACTTGAGAAGACCCGAAATTTGAATGCCTATTACCGCTGAGCACTATCAGATCACAAAAAAACAATTCAGACAGCCCAAATCTTCTCTGTAGAGTGTGTAATTCTTTTCCCCAGGGATATTCACACATGGAAACCAAGCCTTGCTGCATTTTCCTGGTGGCAACTTCCACCGTTTAATTCTGGATCATATATTGCATTTCACATGCAAATATAACAGATGGGATTCATCACATGAAGAAGAATTTTAAATGCCTGAACCAACCCCCATGGGGGGCCCATAGAAAGCCAGTACTTTCTTCTGCCTCTTTCTTCCCTAGTCTGTTTTAGCTGTTGGAAAACAACTAGGGAGGAGATAGTAGTTTTGTAAAGGAATGTGTTACAACCTTAGAATATTTATGTCTTGATTACAGTCACCCTGTTTTACTGCCTTGTAAGAAAGGACACAATCGCCAATCATTTATACACTGTTGTTTTATGCTTAGGTTAGCATTGGATGTCCTGAAAAAATGGAACCCATTACAAAGATTTCACATATCCCAGCAAGCAGATGGGCTTTGTCTTGCAGTCTTTGCAAGGAATGCACTGGAACATGTATTCAGGTATGTAATTAATTATAAGAAAACCACAAAACCAGATGTTTGTGACTTTGTACACCTTAGAATAATAAGAACATAGCTTTACCATTTTGCTGAACATTGCTGGATATTGAGAGTCACTGGCAAGTACCTCATGTAAACAACCAGAGGCAAGGTCAGGCAGGCATGAGTGCAAGTTCCAGTGGTTCTCAGCCTATGGGTCCCCAGATGTTTTGGCCTTCCAGAAATCCTAACAGCTGGTAAACTGGCTGAAATTTCTGGGAGTCGTACGCCAAAATACCTGGGGACCCACAGGTTGAGAACCACTATTTTAACCAGTGTTGTTTCCTGTGCTGATCATTCTTTAACACGTTAGAGTTGCTGTGCCGGCTTGACATCCTTGAACCATGTGCTTGGAGGCCAACAGGTCATCTAATCCATTTCCTGGGTTCTCAATGATTATAGCTTTCCCCAGACATGTTCTTTTCTTGGCAAGACTGTTTTTTTATGGTTAATAATGCCACCCGTTACATCACCTCATGTGATCCCTTTACTCAGAGGACACTTTGGGAAATAGCTGGTAAAATTCATTTTGAACTGGTAAGTATTTCTTTGCCAAAATAACAGCCCATGAGATTTTTTTTTTGTCAGACATTTGCATGCAACCACAAAGTTGTATATATTTTGCAAAGAAGTTGTGGTCTTTGGTGTTGGGCCCAGTATCCTGGGAGTATCTCGTTTCACTTAAAAAACAAAAAGAGTTTCTGCTTCTTAGTAGTGTGAAGTTAAGTTTGAAAAATGAGAGGACTATTTATGGTAAAAACAAGAAGCTTGGTTTTACTTGATCAGGATTTTCAGACACAGAGGATCAGGCCCTTCACATGATTTGTATAAATCAAATGGAGGAGGCCCATACATTCACCCACTTGTTAGCTAGCTAGCGGACTGACATGCACTATTTCCTCACCTGGTGACTTTCCCAATTCCTTTTACAGAATTCCTGCTTTTGGGAAGGAAACGATTTCTTCTTCCCGCCATGGAAAACTTGGGAGAATGAACAAAGGCCTAGGTTCTTACCCATGTGCTAGCTTTGATAGGAAGGTAGAAAAGCAAACAACATGTCTTTTCCACCATCAGTTTCTTCACTGAGGATATGTCTGTGTAAAAGAGAGAATTCTATTTATATATAATTTAGTAGGAAGTGGCAAAAGAATGGTCGAGGCAGTATAGTGTAGTAGTTTGAGTGCTGGACCAGAATTTTAAGACACCAGAGATCAAATCTCTGCTCAGCCATGGAAACCCACTGGATGACCTTGATCAAGTCATGCTCTCAGCTTCAGAGGAAGGCAATGGCATACTCGACTCTGAAAACAAATCCTGCCAAGAAAAGTCCATGATAGGTTTACCTTAATGTCTCTATAAGTCAGAAACCCCTTGAAGGCTTATAACAACAAAGAAAAAAAGAATTTGGATCTTTTGCTGTTTTTTCATCTTTATTGTCCAGTATTCGGTCCTGTCACTAGGGAAGAATGCTCTTTCTCACTTTGTTGATCACACCTGTCCTACCCAAGTGTACCTCACCAGCAGGAAATATAACCAAAGTGTTGACCTTTTGTCCAAAGGGAGGAACGTTTAAAGATGATGTGTATAGTGATGCTGTATAAGTGTCAAGCGGCAGTTAATCTGGTGGAAGAAAAGTCAAGTGTAGCATGAACAAAGAGTATCAAATTTCTACGGTGTTTGGGGTCTTTCAAGAGAAAGATTTCAAAGCATTCCTTTTCAGCCTGAAATGAAAGCTAACACACATTTCTTTAAATCTTCCCAACATAGCTTCAACTCCATTTGTAATGCCTCTGGGTGGATCTGCTTATTTACCCTGGCAGATGGAGATGCTCTGTCGTAATGGCAACTGCTTTCAAAGAACGGAAGGGCAGGGAAACAAGTCAGCTACGCTTGGCAGCATGAAGAGGGGGGTGCAAAAGGTAGAAGGAGAATCCCGTTTTCTCCTAGAGTTCATCCTCTTAGCTCTGGCCTATATATTAGTTTTGCAGCACCCCAGACTGAATGAATTTTTCATGAAAGGTCACTTGCAATACAAAAGAGTGTTTTATTGTGTCCTTTACTGGCATCCCACATTTCTTAAGTCTTTCCAAGACTGAGAGTCAAGCTTCTGTCAGTGCCAGCTTCATAAAGGGGGAAAATAGATTATTATTTTTTTACAAAAGGAAAAAAATAGATTTATGATGCCTTTGTTTAAAACATTTTAGTACTGATTGAATATCAAATTGATATTTAGAAATATATGATAACCCTTTCTAGCACATTAAGATCGCAGTTCTTTCTGGCAAGCAGCATCTTGATTGGAGCTTTGCTCATGCAGGTGAATTTTTATAGCTCTGACAAATAATCTTCTTTTACCAAAACCTTCCTGGCAAAGAGGGATCAAAATCCATAGATCTCAGTGAAAGTGATAGTGTCCCACTAATAAAAAGAACTGGAACCTATGTAATAGTTGAAAGAGCCAAATGTCTATAATAAGCATCCAAAAGAGACTAGCCAGCAGTATTTGAATAAGCATAGAGGAATAAAAATGAGTATTGCTTATGAAAAAGCAAGAGTTGTGGTCAATGACAGAGGATATGTTTTGCAAGAGGAAGGTGTAAGTTCAGTCCCCAGTATCTCTATGTGTGATTGGAAGATATCTCGCTTGAAACCTTGGCAATCCAGTGTTGAAACACTATGCTAGATAGGCCAATGATGTGAGACACTAAAAAGCAGCTTTCTATGATTCTGTGCACCAACAGAAAAAGCAGAAAATATGTGTACTGATGTGATAAGAAAGGGATTCCTACCAGCATTTGATGAAGATATAACTAATGTTTCCAAAGTGGAATGAAATTACAGTATTATCAGAATGAAACTGAATGTGGGTATTTGAATAACAATATGAAGGTCTTCAAAAACTGCTGTATAAATAAGGCTTGCGAAAACTAAACTTAAAACATAAATGCAGATCGTCAACGGGCATAATCACTATTTTGAGGTCAAGAGTTCTCTAAATAATTATCACTATGGTATTGGATATCAGTATATAAAGGTGTGTGTGTGTTTGTGTGTGTGTGTGTGTATACACACACACACACACACACACACATATACACAGACATCTAATCATGCTTGGTTGACTCTCAGAAATGATAAGTATTTTGGTTCAGAACTACAGAATAGACTCACTGGAAGAAGACCTACACACCATTTAGTCTAACTTCCTGCTTGATGCCAAAAATCTGCATTTAAATTATCCCCAAGAGATGGTTGTCTGCTGTTTGTAGACCTCCAGGGAAGGAGAAGATACTTCCCCCTCAGGCGGTTGGTCCCATTAATCACACTGCATTTATTTTTGCTAATTGTCAATAAAAATGTGCCCTCTAGGGACATAAGCCCTTTAGGATTTAGTCCTACACAGGAGAGGTCAGAAAAAAAGTATGTCCTCTCCTGTATAACAGCCCTCCAGAATTAATGATAGTGCTGTTAGTAGTCTCCTGTCCACACTAAAGCAAAACTGTTGGTTTCCATGGCTGAGTAGGGGATTCAAACCCTGGTCTCCAGAGTCAGAGTCCAGCACGCTACACTGACTTTTGGGATTCTAAATGCCCTTCCCTAAACTGCAAATTCCAATACTGCCATGATAAAATGGACTGTAATCCCATTATTATACAGTGCAAATTCACACAAAAACATAAGACAAACTCTAGCCCTTGTAGTACCACATTTATTAAATATTGTTTGAGACAGAATTATGACTGGCAGTTCACACATTCCCTTCAATCTGATACCTTCCACATATATTTGACTGCAGTTCTTCTAATAAGATAGCTGTGGGAGCATCGGACTTGCAAGGCTATTTAATTGGAAGACATTGTGTTGCTACAAAGAAAAACCTGGATTGCTTTTAGTCAAGAAGCAACAAGGGAACATTGTGGAAGTGTATAGCTGCGAGTTGGGGTGAATAAATAGTGTGAACATATGGTTGCTTGCAGATCCAGTTTGGTGTAGTGGTTTGAGTATTGGAATTAATGGTGTAATGAGTACCTAGATCATGGTATGATCTGGGAGCCCCTGGTTGACCTTTCTTCCTTGCCCAAGGGCTTGGGGCAGGGTGAAAGCTATGACGCTACCTGCCTGCTTATATACACATACTTACATGTTGTGAGCCAGTTATTGCTGAACTGCTTAACTATAGCATTGGGCTAAGCATGTTTTAACCTAGGATAATCAGATCTGTGGAGTAATCTCTTTCCTGTTGTTATGTATAAACATTGTCACTGTTGCCACCTCTATCTAGTCTGCCTTGCAGTATATTCTAGCTGCATCATTTCATTCTACAAGCTGTGCGGGCAGGGAGGGACCTCTGCAATTTAACAAATGAAAGGATTGTAAATGTTTTTTTAAAAGTCTTCATTTTCACTTTTTGTGAAATATTCTCTGGCAACTACTGCTGCACAGGTACTCTTCATTGACCCATCAGCTCAGCTTGCTAATTATTTCCTATTTGCATTTTGGGCAGAGTCCCTGACAACTGCTACTTGCCATCTGTCAGAAGAAACCCGGGATGGGTGGCATTCTATTTGTTTTATCTCTAAGGTAGTGCGGATAATCTTTCCTACGTAAAAGGGCACAGTGTAGGCTGTTGTTCTTGCAAAAGCCATGAACAATTTAATAATGATATTAATACTGTTTGTGACGCAAATGGAAAGGGGAGAGAACAGAGGGAAATGGATTCATTTATTTCAGGAGCTTGAATGCTGTGCTAGAGCCAGACGATTTCTTGCCTAGCTTTCATCTCAGTGCTCCAGCTAGTTAAGTACGTAAACAGTGCAAAGGATCTCTCCAATCCCTCATTTTAAAGTACCCCCAGATGTTACTCCAATATAAACATGATTGGCTTCATCAGTGGCTTCTAGCTATGTATACAGTAAAATTACAGCTTTGGCTACCAAACAAGAAAACTCAGACAAAGCTGTTTACTGTTGGTAAAAGCCCATAACCTCAGATTGCAGTAAGACTAAGGAAAGCAACTCTTTTGCATCTTTTCAACATACTCTCACCTAGCCATCCCCTGAAGTATTCACATCAGGTATGCCCACAGTAAAAGCCATGTTATAGCAGATCAGGCTTGCTTCATAAAGCTGTGAAGTGATGCTGATTTCTCACTGTGCATCTGGCGAAAACTAGAAGATTATTACCCAGAACTTTCAACTGCTTCCCACACTGTGGGTTCCTAACCCTTGGTATTGAGTGCAGTTTTAAATATTTGGTTGCAAGTCTCGTGTAGGGGGTTCCAGGTCACCTCTTATCTAGGTGCTACTTCTGTGAGTAACTCCACTGGTGGCTGGTCATCCCCACAATGTTGAGTATTCCTTATCCAGAGCTCCAAAATCTGAAATTGTCCACAGGGGTGGCTGGGATGATTACCCTGTTTGCTTTCTGATGCTTCAATGTAAACAAATGTTATTTCATGCACAAAATTATTTAAAATGTTGTAGATAAAATTACCTCCGGCAATGTGTATATACAACATAAGGGAATTTCATGTTTAGACTTGGATCTCATCTCCAAGATATTTCATTATGTATGTATATGCAATTACAGGTATTCCAAAATCCAAAACATTTATGTTACCAAGTATTTTAGATAAAGGTTACTCAGCTTGTACAACCACACAGTATTACTGAAGTCCGCCTCTCCTCCTTGGCACCATGTGGTGCAAGGACCAGACTAGGAATACTGTTCTTTAAAGCCAAGGGTCTTTTCACACCATACAGTTATAGCACTATGATTCCATTTAAACTATGCTGATTCCAGCCTAAAGAACCTGGGTTTCGCAATTTAAAGGTTGAGCCATGTAGAATTCTCATCCAAAGATTTATAGTACAGCTTTCCATGCTTGGAGAAGATAATGATGCTGGGGAAAATGGAAGGAAAAAGGAAGAGGGGTCGACCAAGGGCAAGATGGATGGATGTTATCTTTGAAGTGACTGGCTTGAACTTGAAGGAGCTGGGGGTGGCGATGGCCGACAGGGCATGGGCTGGTCCATGAGGTCACAAAGAGTCGGAAGCGACTGAACAAATAAACAACAACTAACAGCTTCCCATAGGATGCAGCCAGGTCATTTAAAGTGGGATCATAGTGTATCATTGTGCAGTGTGAAGAGTTCACAAGTCTGCCTCAGTCATACCTAAAGGGCGAATGACGGACTGACTCTCCTACAGAAATTGACCGAGGGTTCAACTCTCTTCAGATGTATCCTCTTGTAGCTTCAGCTTACCAGATATTTTCTAGAGTTCATCAAAGTAGAAGCCCCATGGGGACCAGTTTGGCAAGAATTAAAAAAAAAAATTCTTGCCTGAAATGACATTTGTCCTCACACTTCATTGAGAATGTGCAATATTCCAAATTACTTCTCAGTACCGTTCAGGAAATGCCCCCTTGTTTTAATGTAGTTATTTCAAGCTGAAGTGACTCTCCTTCTTAACCACAAGATCCATGTTACGTTAACAATTCAGTTGGATGCTGAGAGCAATAAGCCGCTCAAAATGGTTCCTTATTGCAGTTTAACTGGTCATTAGCAGCTGGTGGAGACTGATTTCTTATGGGTTATGGCTTAAATAATTACCTGACACTCTGAGCCATTAAAAAAACAACAGTTAATGAATAGTGAGGGAATCCAAGAGAAGAGAGCAAAGGGTGACATCCAACTAACTGGTCCGTATGTTATCTTCTTTGAGGAATGGCACTTCAGATTTCTGCCTATGGGAGGAGGGAATGACAAAACAAATTAACCAGGGAGAATTTTAACAAAATTGTCAAAATTACTCTGTAAAATAACTGTTGACAGCTATTTAGCCACTGTAGTGAGCTTTCATAAGTTAACTTTTATGATGTTTGTCATAACCTGGGGTCCACTTCCCCCCTTTTCTTTTTAATGCCAGTAATTAGAGATTACACTTTACCAAAGAAATACTAATAAAGACCCTCTCCTTCCAGGAGTGTTTTAACCCCACTTGCCCCATGCTGCTTTCTTCATGCAGGGTTCAGCACAGTTACGTGTGAAATAACTATGGGGTATCATTCCCAGTCATAGGACCCCAAGCGTGTCAAAAAAGTGATCTAACATTGGGAGGCAACAGTGCTTACTTATACTGCTCTGTTTTCTATGGCCCCTTCCACAGTGCTGAATAATATCTGCTTTGAATTGGAATATATGGCAGTGTGGATTCAGATAACCAGTTCCTTGATATTCTGGCTTATATGGCTCTGTGGAAGGGCCCTAAACATAGACAAAGTCAGAATTTCAACAATTTCAACAACATTAATTCAATGAGAGGTTTAAAAAAAGATATATCCACAGCATGCTTTCTTGTTATTAACATCACATGGTAGTGCTTTTTTTGTAAAAAGATGTTTTTATATTGTAGTTTTGGAGACCCTAGTGGGCAGAAAAACAATTTATAAATCATTTATAAACATAGATCATTAAACAAATGCTACAAAACATCCCAAACTCATCTCCCTCATTAATCAGCTTGAATTCATGCTCCTTTTATGTAACACCATTCTCTTCGTTTCTCAGCTTTACTGAGAAACAAAGTAAACTCATCCCGCAGTGGGTTGAACCCTTGTACCGGCAGGATTGAAGACCGACAGGTCAGAGGTTCGAATCCGGGGAGAGTGTGGACGAGCTCCCTTTGTCAGCTCCAGCTACCCATGCAGGGACATGAAAGAAGCCTCCCACGAGGATGGTAAAAACATCATAACATCTGGGTGTCCCCTGGGCAATGGCCAATTCTCTCACACCAGAAGCACTTTTCAGTTTCTCAAGTCGCTCCAGACACGAAGAAAAAAAAAACATTTTACTGCAAGGGCTTTACTTTCTACTTCCAAAGCAGTTATTACCAAGCTTGGATCCCCAGAGTTTATGGACCTAATTTCCCAGAGGTCTCAACCACCCGTGGCCAGTGGCCAAAGATTCGGAGATCTATAGGCAATCTGGGAATCCAAGTTAGGGAACTACTGTTCTAACTGGAAACCACTTTCCACGTTAATATACAAATACTTACGGAATCTGTATGACAGATTTTTCCTCAGGTGTTCACCAAAAAGCCAACAATGTCCTCTTAACTATTGTATGTGGGCATGAGCCTTAAAGTAGCCTTTTGACTTATGGCAACTCCATAAGTTTCATATGGTTTTCTTATACAAGGAATACTCAGAAGCAATTTGTCAGATCCTTCCTCATCACTGATGAATACCTAAACCATCTGGTATTCATTGTCAGCCTATGTCTGAGTACTAACCAGGTCTGACCCTGCTTAGCTTCCAAGATCAGACAGGATCTGGTGACTTTAGTATATTTAGGCCTCATCTTAACTGTTGTGTCTATGACCAAGAAAGTGTGTGAGTGTGTGTTGGGACAGAAGGAACCTCCATTCCTCTAATCCAGTGGTTCTCAACCTGTGGGTCCCCAGGTGTTTTGGCCTACAACTCCCAGAAATCCCAGCCAAGTTACCAGCTGTTAGGATTTCTGGAAGTTGAAGGCCAAAACATCTGGGGACCCACACGTTGAGAACCACTGCTCTATTCAGACATCACAGATGATAATCATTTTCTATGTGTCTCTTCTGAGTTCCTTGCATCACTTCAGTAGAAGAATTCTACAGTGTTATCAGCTAGTTGAGTGAGTAGATCATGTTACCCTATAAAAATACATCTTACTTCAAAACCAGCTCACCTTTTGACCAACATACTGGCTAAAGTATCAGTAACCTCCTAACTACAGTAAGCAAATCCAAGGGCATGGTCAGGTTAGAGCTTTGTGGAAGAAATAAAAAAGTACTGGGAAAACAAGCTTTATCCACTACATTTGTTCTTTAAGAGAATAATAACATACTTCCTAGGAATCTTAACTGTGAGACATGCCACATAACCTGCATCTTCTATATTCTTTGTGAGGTTCTGAGTTAATATGGAGTCAGCCCATTCCTCTCGTTACTCAGAACCAGCCCTATCATTAGGTAGAGAAGGCAGCAACATTGGGTAGCAGACACAAAGGATAGTTGTTCCCAGCTGTTTCTTCCAAGACACCCTCTGTGCCCTACATCCCTTAAATTAGCATGTTTCACTGACCTGTGCTGGAGTAAAGTACAGTTGCCAACCTATCTTTAGAATTTGGTGAGAACATTTTCCTTGCCTCAGGCAGCAAAATCTCTAAGTAGAGCCCTGTCTTCAGTGCCTCAGTACATAGGTGGGTAGGTTACAAAAAGAAATTGCAAATAATATGCCTCCTGCAGTCCCACTCCATAAAACAAAATTAAAAATCTCTTCCCCAAAAGTGACTTTTCTGTTAGTTTTACCGGGCCAAAGATTGTGAATGACTCCTAGGACAGAATATCAACTGAATTACCTCTTACAAAACTTGGTTAGAAATGAGCTGCGGGCAGCCAACACAGCAGGAGGGAATGTGTGGCATATAAGCATGTTCTTTTCTGGCATTAGAAGAGGCATGGAATGAGATGGTATATGGGGAGGGTTGTCATCTCTTCAAGAAAATCAAAACATCCAAAATAAAAGGCAGTGGGGATGCAGCACTTTCTGTTTTCTCTCACTCGTGCCTGTGGCTTTAATTACAGTCGCTGAACTGAGTTGCGATACTCTGGTATCAGTGATCTCCAATAGCAGTGAATGATGTGAGTTAGCCCCCTGGGGTTTCATACTCAGGCTCTTGCTCTGTTTTTCCTACCCCCTCCAGTGCTCCATGCCTTCGTGCATCACAGCATTCCATGTCACATGCGCCTTTGAACACAATCTGGACATGCGGACACTATTAGCAGAGAACGATGAAGTGAAGTTCAAGTCCTTCTGCCTGGAGCACAGCAGCGGTGCCACCAAGCCACCAGATGACGCACGGATGGAAGGAGACCAAAGCAAGCTAGAAATGGAAAAGATGACACTGAGGAAGCAGAAGCTCCAGCAGCTAGAAGAAGATTTCTACGACCTCGTGAAGCCCTCTGAGGTGGCCGAGAACCTTGACCTGACTGAGTGGCTGGTTGATTTTGTCTATCAGTATTGGAAGATGAAAAGGAAAGCCAATTGCAACAAGCCCCTGATGACACTCAAAACCGATGAAGTGGACAACTTAGCTCAGCAAGAGCAGGATGTGCTGTACCGGCGCTTGAAGCTCTTCACACACCTCAGGCAGGATCTTGAAAGGGTGAGTAGAATTCCTGGCTAAATAAAAATGTCCTCTGCTGCTCTTTCAAGGTGAACTAAGCAGTTTCCAATAATTCTTTTGCTCCATTAGTCTGACAGATTTCTGCAACGGTCACTTAAACTTGACAGTGCCTGCCCTTAGCTTTTGTTGTGCTCATTTTCCACCAATTTGTTTTTGTTGTGGCTATTATTCATGGGGCTTCATCATTCCATTTGCCACTCCCATTGTGGCAAAGGTGAGAGGGGCACCAGTCTCTCTCCCTTTCACTTAGAAATGGAAAAGGTCCTTGGTGCTTTGAAAGGCCTGGCACAAAAATGAAGAAGATTCCCCACTCCTGGTTGTTTAATCTCATTAAGATGCATCAAATCTCTTATTGCGAAAAGGCCGTATATGGAATCATAGACTTGGTTGAGACCAGAGGGCCATCCAGACTAAACCCATTCTGCTATACAGGAACACACAGTCAAAGCACTGCCGACAGATGACCATCCAGCCTCTGCTTAAAAACTTCAACAGAATGAGACTCTACCCCCTCCAAGGCAGCATATTTCCCTTTTGAACAGCTGTTGTTGTCAACCAATAATTCCAAACTAGGCAAAAGTATGATAGCTGGGACCCTATGCTAGGCTACTTGCACAACGCGGGTCAGAATTAATGAAGGCAAGACGTGCACAACATGGGTCAGAAAGGGAGGGGGACAACAAACAGCCAAGCATAGTGCTTAAGGCTAGTGAGGCAATGTTAGAGTTATTTACTGTTAAATGATAAACAACAGCTTACGAAGACGGTAAACGGGATAGAAATGTTTCCTCTCCCCCTTTCTGGTGAACAGTGTTCCCACGACTCTGACGCAGCTGCGTCTCACTCGCTGCGCTGTCTCGCACACGTGTTCCTCTCATTAATTCATCATTCAGCGTTGGGGCTATCATACTTTTGCCCCAACTATCACAGATGTTAAGAATAAAACCACAAATTCTATTAGGTTTTTGTTTTTCTGATGTTTTCCTTTTAGTGTGATGAAAACGGCCATTCACTCTTGGTTAACAATTCTCTGTCCACCCTCCCTGATGATGGGTGTCATTCACCACAGATCTGCCGGTTGGTTGGCGAGAGGAAGAAAGTCAAATGCTCATTAAATTTTCTGATTTCTTCATATTAAAACAGAAGCACCTGAAATGCATTCTGGACTGTCCTAATTTAATTAAATTAAAATCATACTGGCAGAGTGGTTTCCAGCATTGCTGGTCAAAGTGGTGGTCCTTGGACCAAATCTAGACCCTGAGCCATTGGCTGCTGGTTCCTGGTAGGTTTCCAGGAAAGGAAGAAGCCAGTGGGCACAAATACAGTTTATAATGCACTGAGAAAATATAATTGCCAGTTCCCCACATGAGAGAAACACTGGCGAAGAGAGGTATTTGTTTTCATTAGAACGATTGTCTGCAGATTCTTTTGTGACTTTTTTTTATAAACAGACATATGTTTGCAGGTAAGACCAGGGAATGCTTTTGACACTGCCTATTTTGCAAACAAACAAACAAATGGACAATGTTATTGAAGTGACTCATTTCCTTTCCTTCCTTTCCTCCTGCTTTCCCCCTGCTGTGCCTAGTACTGCTTGTGCTGATGCATGCAAGACAGTAAAAGGAGATTTATTAGAATCCTGCTCCCCAAAGTGCCACACTGCCGATAGTCTTGGTTTCTTGTTCATTTTTCTTTTTATTATCTACACACTCACACCTATATAGGCACACACAAAACACTTTCAGATCCAGTCATGAAACTATGGAAAGCAGAGGATATGAGGGCAAAACTGGCACTGTGTAAACATGAGGTGGAAGAAGCAAAACAAATTGCCCAGTAAACACCGCTGGGAAATTAAAGTACAGGGGAGGAGAAAGCGGGGAGAAGCAAGAAAGAGATTGTAGTCAGTGCAAATAGATATAGAAGGGATAAGCTCTGAGATAGTTGATCCGCCAGTAGATAAGGAAAAACTTCCTATAGTTTGAATTATTCCTCCCAGAACTCCCACTTGTTCCAAGTACCTCTGACAGATGACCATCCAGCTCTGTTTTAAAGCTTCTAGGGAAGAAGCTTCAACAACACTCTGAGGCAGAAAGTTCCACTGCTAAACAGCTCTTACAGTCAGGAAGGTTTTCTTAATGTTCGGGTGGAATCTCTCATTCTGTYATTTGAACCCATTACTCCTCGTTTCATTGTTTCTCTGGTTTATCATCATTAAAGCCGCCCTAGTTTTTGCAGTGGCTTGTCCMCCCCCCCCCCCCCTCTTTCTCCTTTAAAAAGGTGCTTACCTTTTGAGTTTTTCTTTCAAATCTAATTCTCGAAAGGTTCCATTATCTCTGTTGATTCTYTGGTCCCCCATTCATGCCCACTTCCTTTTCTCTCATCTCTGGGCGCTTGAAGGAGAATATCAACACAGTGAAGCATCCAAGGATGAAGGGGAGAGGCGGGCATGAAAAGGCAACTTTAGAGTGCTGAAGAACAGCAAAGGAGTCCCGGGAACAGACAAGTGAGGGGAAACTCCTACATATTTCTATTTGTCAGCAACACTAGGGGTAGTGGATGTGAGCCAGCTCCTTTGACAGAAGGAGAGGGCTGAGTACCGGGGGGGGGGGGGGCATCTCCCCAGCCTTATAGGAAACCTTGACAGATTTAGCATTGTCCCCCAGGTCCCAGCAGAGTTCATTGACTTCACTGTTAGGATGGYGGACCCCTTTCTCCCCAGCAGGCCTTTATGATGAAGAGGTGAGAAAACCATTCCCTCAGGGATCAAGGTGCCAAATGTTTAGGGATTTAGATGTCATCACAAGCACCATGAATTCAGACTAGAAACATACTGGTAGCCCGTGCAATAATTTAACAATTGGCATTAAATGCTCTCTGTATGCTATTCTGATCAGCATATTTCAGGTCTTTAAGGTCTCAGAAGAAAAAAGATTTTGCAAAAGAAAGAGTGTTTAAGATTATCTTAGACCTTCCACACCAACTGTCACTACATTCCTAACAGCATGCTGAAAATAGTTTCATAATCAAAACAATATAAATGCTTTGTCGAAGGCAAAACCTCACAGCCTGTGAGGATGCTTGCCACAGATGCAGGCGAAACGTCAGGAGATAATGCTTCTAGAATATAGCCATACAGCCTGAAAAACCTACAACAACCCAATATAAATGCTGGTGCCTTTAAATCAGTTTTTGTGGCTTACTCTGTTTTTCTATCCAGTTATGGGTTATCATAGTTAGCTTTTCCTTGGATGCCTAATCATTCTTATATAAATATCAGGACCCAGTTTTCCAGTCAGTTGAATGGTCTTAAGAGCAGAAAATCAATCCTAGAGGCTCAACACAGTGAAGGAAATAAAACAAAATAAAATGTCTATTGAATCATGGCAAACTATTAGAACAATTGAATTTTGCCCCATATTTGCCATTTAAATAAGTACAGAGGCGTAATATGTACTTCAGAGTACAGTCTTCCATTAGCCATAACTTGTTCCTTGTCAGGCCTAACCCCCGTTGTTAATTAAGACAAAAAATGAAAAGAAGAGGATGGAGCCCACCTGGGAAGAGCAAATAATTATCTGTAGCTGCATTCTGGACAGAAAATGAACATATATCTATTAAAAGCTGATAGGAAATTGTGCCCTTCTTGTGAATTTTCCACAGTTAAGAGTGTACCTCTGTTTTCCAAAATCCAATTATACAAAAGTGTGTTAGTACCATAAAGAAAAAAGCTATTTCACAATTAGTCATGGGCCTAATTGTGCAATGGTGCCTTCTTGCACAAGGCTGATGAAATAGTGGTTTCTGTGATCCTGCAGTAATTTCAACTAAAGTAGACCCACTTAATCAGTTAAGCATACCTAGATCTCAGTTTCGTAAAGTCCCAATGCTTCATAGAGACTTTTCCTGATACCTTTTGCTCACCCCCCCCCCCCAAATATCCTGTAGAATTGAGTAATATGAAATATTACAAAACAGTATTTGTTCTCTGCACCTATTTTGCAAAGCAGAAACTATAGGTGGCCTGCTTACAATATAAATGTTGCATAGTTGCCTGTGCAGTGATTTCCTCATGGATATCATGGGCCCTACTTTGAATTATAGGTTGATGTAATTTCTGGAAATCCAAAATTGGAAATACTTCAGCATTGTCCTCATGGGTAGCTAGGATGGTGACCTCTTTGCTTTCTGGTGATTCAGTATACACAAACTTGGTTTTATGCACAACATTGTTGCAAATACTGTATAAAAGTAATGAATTGTATCTGTGGACCCAGATTCCATCTCCAAGTTATAGTTATCTATGCATATGCAAATGCATGTGTGCCAAAATCTGTGGGGGGGGATCCAAAATTCAAAACACATTTGGTCCTATGCATTTCAGAAAAGGGATACTCAACCTGTATAAATCTGCCCAAGGTACTATCTACTAAAAGGATTCAAGAGCTTCCCTGTCTTTGAATTGGACAAACTACATTGAGTCTATGGTGTTATTCAAGCATCAGATTTGTGTCTGTTGCCATTCCCCATCCATATCTTGAGTACATTGGAAACTTGTTTTAGGTAAATTTTGCTCTCACCCCCTCCCATAATGGGGATAGACTTCCACTGCTTACGTCCACTAGAACAGTCCCAGAATACTTGGCAAAAAGAACTTTTCTCTTACTACAATAATATGGATATTTTCACATACAATATGTATGTCATGTATTTTTTAATCTTGTTTTAAGTTAATGTTATAAAAGCAGTGTTTTCATTGGGTTGATGGTTTAATGCTCAGCTTTGTTTTTTTTATTCCATGCTGTTTTGTAACTTATATTGTAAGGCACTTTCAGTCCCATTTGGGAGAAAGGCAGGATGCAAATGAAATCAAATTAATACATCCAGAAGTATCTCAATATTGTGACCCAACAAGGTCAGAAGGAGGGAACCTTTTTGCTAGCTGGGGATTGGATTCTCTTTCCTCTTTCCTCTCTTTT